TAGTTCAAAGAGAGAAAAATACCATAGGTTTTTTTACTTGCAAAACCTGGAAAGGGAAAAACCACAGGGCATGGACCAACTAAGAAAATTCCACTAATTTTGAATGAATTACAAAGCTTGATTCACCCCTTTACTTAGAGATGATGGAATTATAATAGATTGGAGAATGGGGCAGAAGTCTGGCAATGATCAACGAATAGGACGAAATTCGGCAAGGCTCGACAAACGAGCAGAAGTTCGATAGTGGTCGGAATAGCTCCGGTGGTGGTCGACGATTAGATGGAAGTCCATTGGTGATCAATGAGCAGGCAAATATCCATCGGTGATCGAGAAAAAAACTCTGGCAGTAGTTGACGAATAAGTAGAAGTCCGACGTGTGTTGGGAAGAACTGCGATGGTGGTCAATGAACAGACAAAAGTATGGCAGTGGTCGAGAAGAACCCCAACAATGGTCAACAAATGGGCCAAAGTCTAACGGTTGTTGGGAAAAACTCCGACCATGGTCGAAAAATGGGCGGTAGTCCGACAGTGGTCGGAAGAACTCTAGTAGTGGTCGACGAACAAGTAGAAGATCGATAGTGGTTGACGAACAGGAAAATGTCCATCGATGGTCAGGATAAATTCCAACATTGGTCAACGAATGGGTGGAATTCCAGCGGTGGTAGTCGAATAGTCGGAAGTGCTGCGGTAGTAGGAGGCAAGAGAGTTTCCCAAATTTTCTTCTTCTCTCCACCTTTTTTTCTCCCCTCTCATGTGATGAATGGGGGCCTATTGATAGATTTTTTAGAGTGGCATGGCTTATAAATATCAGGATGATCAAGGTTAAGATGGGAGTGGTTTGAATAGATGGACGATATTGATCCATTTGGTCGTGAACTGTTTATTGGGCATTTGGATGTCTTAATGATATCAAAATTTAGTGATCTTGGATACGTTGGATTGAACACATTGAGACGCTTAATTTGACTATAAGAATGTCACATTTATAATTTTGTGGGCTCCAAAAACTCGGCCCCAGCCTCCGCTTGCTAATTGCTTTTTTCTTTAGCGAGGGAGTTTTAACGGATAAGTTCCGGGGTAAAATTTGGAAGGCAGATGAGTTTGTAGATAAGATACTACCCAGAGATTTCACCCTCATTTTGTGAGGACTTTTTGATCTGAGTTCTGGTTTTCTATAGGCGCAAGCCCCCATAGTTATTTACCCCTCTTAATCATGAGAGAGAACTTTCGATTAAGGCTAGTCGTCAACCAGATACGTAGAAAATACGTGTTATCTGGCATATAGTAGCAACATGGGTTTGAGAAGTTGGAAAATTGGAATGTTTGAAAACTTGGGTTGAAAGATTTGATGTTTAAAATAGAAATTTCACCATCTTGCACTTAAAGTGGATGGTGGGGGAATGGATGAAAGACACGATCAAGATCCCATGGTTCCGTCATCCCGGGCCATCGTGGTCCCTGGTCTACTTAGTCAGAGGAGGTAATTGACCCAACCTGATAGAAGGATCCTTATCGATAGCCATGGGGTTCTTCGTCAAAGGGGATCTTGTAGACCTGGGGTGAATATTTGTCTAAGAGGACAAATTTGAATCCACCTTAGCTAACATAAGGTTTTGTGCCCTATCGATCATATCTTATTAATTCATATCTCAAGGTTTTGATGCCACTAAGGAGAGTATTGTCTCTAGCCATAATCAGTATTTTGTGGTGCCATTTGGTAGCAAAACCACTCAGTTCAGAGGGCCCCGGGTCATAAACATTTATCATGCGATGCCATTTGACGGTGAAACCGCTAATCAGAGGATACACACCACGTCTTTATTGGCAGGAGATTGTTTGAGAATGGATCCTAGTAATATTTTCGACTAAGCATTAGCTCTTTGTGAGCTGAAGTAAATTTTAATTTGTCTACCTCGAAAAACTATTGCGGGGAGTTTTACATTAAATATTTGTTGGATTATTTCAATTTTAAATATTTCAGATTTTTGGATTTTTAATTTTTTGTGGGCATTTGGGATGGAGCTCGAAAGGTATTTGAAATTATTTGTGGATCCATTCGGTTGAGATAAACATTCAACACAGCCATCATTAAGGTGTATGGGGTCATTTCCATTTGATTTAATCTTGTCGACCCAATCAACTTGCCAATAGGGGATCGAGTTTCATAAGCTTTGTGTCTTTTTTGATGAATTCTTTTGATTTTAGGCTTTGAAGGCCTAATATGAATGTATTAAAATAAATATATCGATTGTCACAACCCTATATTTATTTGATAGTTCAAACCTTGTCGACTCCTACTAATCCACATAGAAGGATCGGGTTAGAACTTGAATTCACTTATTGACCTGCAAAGCATCCCTAGACGTCACGTGTGTACCAATAACACGCTTGTCGGGCCCCATGCAGGTGTTTAGGAGTATTTTATGATTATTTATTGAACCTTGTCGACTCCTATTTACCTATTTAGGATGATCGGATTCATATTTATTGACCCGCGTAGCATCCCTAGACATCACGTGATACTAATAACACGCTCGCCATGGCCCGTGCGGGTTTTTGATTGCATACCCTTCCCCTCCTTTTTATGTACCTATATGTGTACAAACTACGGTGCACATGCGAGGGTATTTTGAAATATTTAGCGGTTATCAGTTGAGCGGGAAAATGTCATTTGAATGCAACACTCTACTTGAAAGTTCACACACGCCTTAAATTTTCTTGCATACAAGTTGCAGATTCGATGGCATTTTATCATAATATGGATTATTGGTTGTTTTATGCAGTGTGAATACTTGCATTTGTTGTTGGCTTTCTATATCCATTCATAGAAGGCAGCTTGTATATGCGATAGGTTTCATATAATAGTTTCATTCTCCGCACAATTTCCACTCCAAAGTCACAAGACTTCCTTCTAAAGGAAGATTGATATTCATCTTTGAGCCCTTTTATCTCATACCATACATCTGCATTGTGTTGGTATAAAAATCCTTGAGGAAGGGAAATTGCTCATTTCGTCCAACAGTTAAAGTAAGGTCGAAATGATTGCAAAATGTCTTTTTATAAAGGATCCTCATATCACCATTCAAGAGTTTCCTCCTTCTCATCAACCTTTATAGACACACTGCTTGGCTTATTTTGGGCACACTCTAACTATGAATAATTATAATCATTAGATACAGCGTCAACAAGCCTCTTTTCTCTTTTTTTTTTTCAATATGAAATCTTAATATTAGATCTATATCTCTCTTCATTAGTCGTAATGATGGCACTCCCCATCAGACTGCTGGTTTTGCTCTGTTGTTGTTGAACTCGAATGTCCATAGATTTGATGTTTTTATAATGAATTGCTTCAAGATAGGAAATATTCTGCTTTCAATACCTTGACTGAACATGATATCAATAATCCTTTATGAAGAGATATTGAATATTGCCTCATCTCATTTTCTAAAACAGGTCGTAAAATTGAAGGAGACGAGGAGTAAGAAAATGTGTACGTTCTTGAGAGTTTTTTTTTTATTATTTAATGTTATCAAACAAGGAAATCTCATGTCAACTTCAATTATCACCATTTAGTGCAGTTCTTTATGATATAATACCCTTCGATCAGGAAGATCGTCATTTTTCAAAACTGCATGGTCGATATCATGAAGCATGTTATTCTCCATATCAATCTATATATACTCTATTTTCATAAGATGTTGAACTTCTTTAACAATTTCTATGTGGTCAGTAGCTTTCTTTGCTTCTGCGGCTTCTCCTGTTGCACATTGAGCTCTTTGATAATAACAACAAAACTCATCTCAGATCACTGCAATTGTTTTTGATCTTGATCATAAGCAATGTCTAATTTCATCATCAACAATACTAACATTGTAAAAATATTTGGACATTTCACTTTTTTTTGTAAAGCAGTAATCTGAAGCTCTTTACTTGCTCAAATGCTTATTTCCCTTTCTTTAAATAATTTCCAACTCCTTATCTCTTACAAACACTACATTCATACTCTTTCGTTTATTTTATTCAGAACATCATCTCTTTCTCTAAAAACAAAAGATCAACCAACTTCTGCATGTTTTCAATTCATCTTCTTAATTAAGCATTTTTTTTTAACTGAATGCAGCTGTTTTCTTTCTCTATTTTTATGATGTCGAATTTATTTGTAAAGTGTATGCTAGCTATTTTCTCTTCAGCAATCTAATCAGCACAATTCTCAAATCTTCTCTTCTTTATTTAATAAGATCCCATGCATCCTTGAAATTCTCCTTTTCTCTTTAGCAATCTAATCAGCATCAATTCTCAAATCTTCTCTTCTTTATTTAATAAGATCCCATGCATCCTTGAAATTCTCCTTTTATGACCTTAGCTTAGTTTTTTTGCCATCAACTGTCATCTTTAGAGGGAAAAGCCACCCATAAATTCTTTCATTTAGTTCATTTTTTGGAAAAAGAAACTTGTTCCTCTCATTTGTAACAAGAGATATCTTTCACAAGAAATTTTCTTTAGATTGTATATCATGCTTCTATGATTCTACTATTCCCCTTTCCTTTTTTTTAGCAATAAAACCTTCTCTTTATTCTCCAACACCTGGAGGTTTATGCCCGCCACATATGGAATGTAGCTTAAATTGAACTGAATTTTCCATCTTTATAATTTGATGTTCTTCCTTTTAGTCTAATTTTGTTCAAGTCAAATTAGTATTTATTTTTAGTTGTCATTTGAGCTCAAGTCAAATTTAAATCTAGCTTGAATTCAATGTGCAAGTTCATTCAAGCCCAAATCTTTTATAATTCATTTGCAAGTTCAAATTAAATCTTTGCATCGTTCTTTTGAGTCCAAAGTATGTTCCATATGTTTGATCAAGTCCTCTATTTATTTGTCCAAGTCTTGTCTTCAGTTCACTAAAAATTTCGGCAGCCTCCGGGCATCTTCCCCGTTTAGGAGAAATTTTGGGAGATTAGCCTTCCGACCACGTGCAATAAAGATGTGTATGGTAGGTGTCTTTAGACAACACGGCCGTGTTCTTCGTTCCCACAACGCGCAATAAAGGCATGTATGGGGTTGGCCAGGGCACATGCATAAAAACATAGTTGTTTCCCCGCGTACAGGTACTTATAAGTAACCCCGCCTCGTCGTAGTTGCTGCAGCGAGGTCCCACCCACCACGCGCAATAAAGACGTGTATGAGTGGTTTTCCAGTGCACCACGAATTCCAAAATGGGGCTTAAGGTGATTACCTACCTCATCGTAGGTTCCGCACCGAGGTCCCATCCCACCACGAGCAATAAAGGCGCGTATGAGCGGTTTTTCGGTGCACCAAGAACTCTGAAAGCGGGCTCTTGAGTTTAAGGTTCAAGGGGGTTATACCTTCAACAACTTAGGTGACGGCGGTGAGGGCAATGAAAATGCAAGATACACAAAACCTCTCTTTTTTTTTCTTTTTTTTTTTTTGACACTTTTTTTTACCATAAATCATCATTCTCCCTAATGTCATCCAGCTCAAGTAGGAATTTTTTTTTTGGGACAAGATATAAGATTTAAGACTCTTTTGGAGTGCATCAAGTGTACCCAAAGAAGATCTAATCATTTTGAGAGATTCCAGCTTATCTGCATTGACTTTTTTTAACATATAAAATGTTGGGAACACAAATTCCTTTTGTCATTTAATCTTCATAGATATGTTGCAAGAGAGTTGTCTTTCCCATACCACCATGGCCGATTATAGATGGAAGAGAAATGTTTATGTACAAATCAGTTACCCGATGCTAATTTAATGGATTCCTCAGCCACTCCATAACGAGCTCCGTATCCTTGCCACGCCCAATGAGATCATTTTTAGGTAAGGATCCCATTTTACATGGTCCGTGCAGCTCAAGCTGCTGCTTCTGATGCTCCTGCTTTGCGTGTTTTAGCTGAAATAGGGAGCCGCAAGATCTTCTCTTCCTGGCCAAACAGATCAAAAACAAGATAAGATCTGATACTTTTTCCTTTCCTTGGCTTGGATTGAATCAACTAGCTATCCCTAGTGAATGCGAGCAGCCAAGTGTATTTGAGTGGAACTTCTTTTGGCTTGGACAAACGATGAGATCAGGGAATGTCATGATTGCATGAGGGCTATTTTGTTATTGAGAAAGAGTTTGACAGAGGGAGATGGACTGGAGTTGAGTGGGAGAGGCTTACACCTACAAGAGACTCCACAAACAGAAAATTTGCTTCTTAATTTGTTATGATGAAGTTGAAGCCGGCATAGTAGATTATGAATAGGAATAGGAAGCTGCTGTCATGAGCTAGCTCCATCTCAGGCATTCGGCATAATAGGAGAAGAATCAGGAGGAGGGCAGCTTCGCGTGAGCAGGAGGAAGAAGTGGGATTAGAATGAGCAGGGAGGCTACATGTGTTATGCCCGCCAACTCCAGAAAGGGGACGGACAGAAGAGCTTTTATCTTTTTGCTGAGGCAGAGATCTATTTTTTTTTTTTTTGGGACATTTAGGCCATTTAAGGCAAATTCACACACACAACGCATACACATAGACTCGAACCTTGGACCTCTTAGTTGGAAGCCTAAGCTCTCAACCAATAGGCCAAGGAGAGTTGTGTGAGGCAGAGATCTTAAGAAAGAAAAACTGCTCGTTCTCCTGGAGAAGCATCTGGCCGAGGTTATTTCATTGCTTGAGGTTTAGAGCGGCTTCCGAGGTGAGATTTGATTGGAGAATAGAGTAGAACGTCGGCTTCCAAGTTCCCAGGTTCTTTTGGGAGCATTTTTTTATTACTTTCTAAAATGAAATTTTATTAAAAAAAATAAAAAAAATATATACTAAAACTCTGTCTAAAAAAACAATAAAAAAGTCATTCCAACAAAGCGTTAATCAAAATCATCACAAAACGTCAAGGTAATACGAGGTGTGTATTAAATGTGATTGGATTTTTCTGTTTGACTTTTGATATAATTTCTCATTAGTTCTATTAAATTAATAATAATAATAAAGATATATCATTATTATTAATTGCTCCAATGCAATAATAGCCCGCAACAGATTAAAACTGCTCCGAACAGCATGCATGCATTTCCTTGATATATGTACATTTTGTCTTGTTTTCTATTTAAATTTTATGAATATCGAAATTAGACCAATTGAAAGTGTATTTACGGTATTTTCGATGTTCCGATCACAACGACGCAGTCCGTTTCATGATCGGACATCGTTTAAACAATGACAAGGTTAATTCTTCTTGAAATGCGTGTAGTCGTTTTGAGATCACCTCGATTTTCATGCGCAATCTCATTTGAATAAATTGATAGTATATTTAGCGTATTGAAGACATTCTAAATAAACCGGCAAAGTCTGTTCATCGATCCGACGTCGTTTGGGTAGCGCCGAGTGACATTTTCTTTGAAATTCCTACTTTGCCATGATGTTTGTATCAACCCCCTTGCATGCCCCTTGATTTGTAAATTGCATGTCATCATTAGATATTCTAAGATATTTTGGGTGTTCTGATTGCAAAGATGCAGTTCATTTTGTGATCGGATTTCATTTGGGCAATCTCGAGGCCTCTTTCCCTAATATGCATATTTTGCCTCAAGATTTATGCCACCATCCCGGATTATCAAATTTGAACATAGAAAATATAGTTCTTAATTTATGGTTTTATGTGTATCTGCATTATTCCAATCACAATGGAGAAATCCGTTTTGCGAACGGACATTATTTGGACAGCGACGAGGTCAATTTTTCTCAAAATTTATGCTATTGTCTCGGTATCCGTGCCACCAATATGGATGCTTCAAATTGAATAAACAAAATGTAGTTTTCAGTGGTTGACAATATTCTGTATGCAACATCGAAATCTATTTGTCGATCCAACATCATTTGATCAGCCTCGCGCTTTAATTTCAGGTGTCGGACATCTCTTTTGATCGATCTCGTCCGATTCAATTGCAAGTGGCCTCGACTCAACAGAATTCAGTATCTTGATCGCAACGATACCATATGTTTGGCATTTGGAGGTCATTTGACCCCATAAGTGATGTATTTCGTCAATGCACGCATTGCCTAAATCATCATTTTTGCATCTTTTCGTATGGTTTTATGTGTAGGGGTCAACAAATTTGTTTGTTAATCCAAAGTATACTTTGAACCCTCCAAATATGCTTTGCTCCCTTGATTTGGGCCTGAATTTGATTTATTTTGGTGTCGTTTCGTTCGTCTTTTTGAGACTATTAGTTCAAATGTAAGTTTATGAAAATCGGAGTTTGGATGGTCCTAAATTTATTTTTGGTAGCTTTCAACTCATTTTTGCCTTGAGATTTGTGCCCAATCAAGATAAGTTTTCATGATATATCAATGATGATTAGCTGAAAAAGTTTATATTTGTAAGAGAATGACGCTTAATATAAAAGTCATAAGGGAGAGAAAGTGAAATGATGATCATGCTGATTATTTGCCCCCATTTAGTGAAATTGGAGGTATGTGAAACGTTAACCATGTTGAACTCCTAAATTATCCATTATTCTAGCATCCAGAACCTTATTTCCTATGCCAACAACAACAACAACAACATCAAACTTTTATCCCACTACGTGGGGTCGGCTACATGAATCCTTTTTCTCCATTGTGTCATATTAAAGGTCAAAGGCCACCATTTTATGTGACCAAACCATCTAAGGCGACTCTCTCTAATCTTATCTTCTACTGGAGCTACTCCAACCTTTTCACGTATATGCTCATTTCGTATCCTATCTCTAAGGGTAAAGCCACTCATCCACCTGAGCATCCTCATCTCTATCACACATAACTTAGTATTATGCTTCTCTTTTAATGGCCAACATTCAGCACCATAAAGCATTGCAGGCCTCACTACCATCTTATAGAATTTTCCCTTAAGTTTGAGGGGTACTTTTCTATCACACAACAAGCCCGATGCATTCCTCCACTTCAACCATCCAACTTGAATTATTCTGATAATATGAATCTGGGCCTAGAGAACTAAGGAGAATCTGTATCAGATTCTGCTTGAGCACCCATAATTTGAATACACCATAACGAGAAATTTCAAGGAAACAACTTACAGAGCGCAAGTCCCAACCAGAAACTTTCCCGTATGGAGACAACTTGCGTATCCTTTCTTTCTTAACCTCCCACAATTCACCAGATAATGCATCACTTGGCTTAGGAACTCCATTTGTTGCCTGTCAAGAAAGAATAATTATAGTCAGAGTGATGCTAAATTAGTTTTGTCATAGAAAAACCACGTAGAAAAAACCTTCACCTTTGACTGCTGATCAGGTGAATTTTGACCAGCACCCTTTAGGTGGACTCCAGGAGGTGCCTGACCACAGGCAGCTTTTGCCTGCGAGACAAAAAAAAGGACATTTTTTTTTTCAGAATTAGTGGCATATAAATATGCTTAAGAGGATATTGACGCACCATTAAAATAACTATTTGGAAGCATTTTAAATGTAGAATTGCAATAATAGTAATATAGCACCAAAAATTGGCATTAATTACTAGATATATAATTCCATCTCACTTACAGGCCCACCTTTACTTCCTCAATGGCAATCGTGCTGGGAACGCGACGATGTTCCTTGCGACGGGGTGCTTCTTGATCAACTACATCTTTCATTTTAACCCCCGGAATGGCTGATAAATTTACTATTACCCTTTCCACGTTTTCATCATTTCCAAATTCCTTATTCAGATCCCCGTTAGAAATATGATGATTTTTTTCACGATGTCTTGACATGACAGCCTTTTGATCCTCAACGGATAGGCTAACATGGACAATTTTTACTTTAGCTTCCCATAATTGAGCCATAACCTGGTCAATAGCTTGTGATGTATTTTTCAACATTCTATCAGTATCAAAATGATGTGCTGGATGTTGGCTCCAAAGAGGATATGCCCATGGAGGAGGCTTCGGTGACTGCAGATCTCCATTTGCCAAAGGAATTATTCCTCTAGAGAGCTTTTGAACATCAGAATATGTATGTATGTATATATATATATATATATATATGTATATCATATTTGAGGTTGTTAATTTATATATAAGTATATAATAAATGAATAATTATATGATAAGCAAATATGTGTATGATTAATTAACTAATGTTACACTATGTTAATATAAAAATAAAATCAAGAAATTATATTATATTTAAAATAAAAGTAATCAAATATGTAAATTAAAATATTCTTGCAAAGAATATATTTGTTTTGAACATTTGATGTTCTGAATTAGGTAATTTGTAGAAAATATACTTTTTTTTTCTTAACATTTGATTTTCTCAATTTAACTTTATCATTTAACTGAGTTAAATACTCCTTGTTTGTTTCACTATGTTAATATAAAAATAAAATCAAGAAATTATATTATATTTAAAATAAAAGTAATCAAATATGTAAATTAAAATATTCTTGCAAAGAATATATTTGTTTTGAACATTTGATGTTCTGAATTAGGTAATTTGTAGAAAATATACTTTTTTTTTCTTAACATTTGATTTTCTCAATTTAACTTTATCATTTAACTGAGTTAAATACTCCTTGTTTTCTAAATATTTTTTCTTCGGATTTTAAAAGTAGTAGAAAAAAAATCTAAAGGGATTAAGATCGACTAAATGCACATTTTAGTAAGCAACTATTTCTAAAATAATTCGTTGAATAAAATATCAATACAAAGTAGGATTAAAGGGAATTAATAAAACAAAAAATAAGGCCATTATATATTGTCAATCACCTTGAGCAAGCACGCTTGGAGTTAGATTTGAGTTAAACAACCTTTGAACTTATCCACAAACTCCTGGATGTAATGCCACTCCCTTGCATTCAGAAACTCTTTCCTCTTTTGACCAGCCACAACATTCAACCCATCATATAATTCAAACAGAAATGCATCCTGTACACCATGCCATTTATAGTAAAGAATACAATGATCTACATCAACAATTGGTCTTTCAACAATCATCTGAATAGAACCATCTTCATTGCGTCCAATTTCACAAATTCTTGCCTTAAAAATGTTCACATGAGCTAAATGGCCACTATGTGTCATGAACCTTTGTTGTAGAAATCTCTAACCCATATCACTTAAATATGCTCGACCCCTATATAAGGTAAAGGAAATTTTTATAACTTTTTCATGTGCATGCCACAAAATACAATCTTCATACTCTCATTAGGAATGCATGTAACATTGAAAAATTTTGTTTGATCTTGCCTGCTCCTTTAGGAAATCGTCAGTGGGATGCGACAAACATTCCTTTAATCAAATGCAAACCTCCACAATCAACTTCTTTGGATCTTATCCATTACTTAAGTTGAAGATGATTTCCAATTAATGTTGAGTGTCCAACAAACTAAAAAAAATCACTACATGGTCAATTAATATAAGCAACAAAAATTTAATTTATATAGTATGAAATTAGATTTCAGTAATGTTAGCTGAATAAAAAAAATCATTCATCATACTGATTAGTATTACTGTAATGACAAGGCAATAGAAGCCTGCAAAACTGATTTGATAATACATATCATTTTTACAATGCTTTATAATTAATGTATTGACTTAAATTTATTAAGGATGAGCTATCAACACAAACAATAAATAATATAAGGTACAAAACAAACACAGGAATACAAGTGTTCGAAACACAAAAATCAACACAAAACACAAAACAAAATAACACAAAATAATATTACTCCTCCTTTTGACAACAACAAAAAGGGAATAAGAACGTGAAATGAAAGATGTCAAATGAGAAATCATAATAATTGACATTGAAAGAGATTGAAATATAATTACAATAACAAAGTTAATTACATAAGATGAAAAAGAAAAATTCAAAAAGTTTAAATTAAAGAACAACTAGATAAGAAAATTTTATCAAGGTCATAAAGCATTCTAGACAATTAGATATAGATATTATTATAAAAGTGACGAAATGAAGATTGGTTATTTTCAATTTTCAATATAAAACATAATTAAAAATTAGATTGATTTGAATTAAAGATTAAATGATAGAGAAAAGAACAAATTTAATTGGCGATATTGTGCATCTTTCTAAATATTTGTGGCACACTTTGTGCATCTTTTTCTGTTTGGGCTAATTTCATGCATTTTTTTATTTTGCAAACTAATGCACTTTTTTTTTTTTTAATTTTTGTACACAGTACATTTCTTTTTTATATTATTATTTTTTGACTTTCCAAAATTAATAATCTAAAAAATTAAATTTCTCCAATTACAAAAATAATTATTGTTGTGTCCAAGAGTATTCGCGGCGGTAGAGAAATATAAAGTTTATTTTCTTAGAGTTGTACAAAAATCTGGCACGCAATCAGATAAGGTCTAGCATTTATGAGACACCAAGTTTTTACATGGAAAACCCCTGAAAAGGGCGAAAAATCATGGGGCTTAGCCCAGTTTGAATGAATCCACTAGTATTATAGTCGATTACAAATGAAGCCCTTTCTTTGAGGAAGGCATGGGTTTGATGTACATTATATGAAGTACATTACATGTTGGGAATGCAAAGAGTCACTGTTGACGTATTCGCTTTATTGGAAGGACTGTAGTCGGCGGGCGACGTAAGTCGGGAGGACCGTAGTCGGCGGGTGATGGAGGTTGAAATGACTGTGTCTAACGATGAAGGCCAGAAGGACGGTGTTAGAGAGAAGTCTAACAAAGGGAAGAAATCCATCTTCGAATAAATGTCCAGCGAAAGTCTGATAACCGGTAGAAGTCTGGTGTCAAGTAGAAAATTGGCGAAGAGTGAAGGTCTGGCGTCGGGTTGAAGTCCGACGTCTGTTGGTGGACGAGGAGAACTCCAGCATCACTTGGGCGAAGTTTCGGTGAGGAGGGAACTCTATCGTCAATTGGGAAGAATTTCAGCATCACGTAGAAGTTGGGTAGAATTCTGGCATTCTCTCGAATATCCCGCAGAGTTCCTACGTATTCATGCGGCGGAAAGAACTCCGGCGGTGGTCGAGGAGGACATGATTCTCCTTTCCCCTTCTCTTCCTCTTTTCTTCTTCTTCTCTCTTCTTGCTTCAGCCCCCTCTTGTGAGGAATGAGGGCTCTATTTATAGTTTTTTAGGAGTGGCATGGCTTGTAAATAGATGCGAGATCAGGGGAAAATAGGGAGTGGTCGAATGGACGGCCGATATTAAACTCTTCAATTGTGCACCGTTTATTGGACTTTTGAAGGCCTTAGTGATGACGGACTTCAGAAATCTTGGGCTCGTTGAATTTGTCTCGTCGAGACGCTCGATTTGACTATAAGCTCGTCAAAATTGGAGACCGTTTGGTAACTCAAATTGTGGTACGAACTTTCCAACAGCGCTTTGGGTGCTCGATTTGGGCTCATTTGCGCTCATATTGAGTTGAATTTGGTGTCGTTGAGTTTGTATTTCTGAGACCCTCAGTTTGACTATAAGCTCGCTGAAATCGGAGTTCAAGTGCTCCCGAATTTAATTTTTGAAGTTCTCAACTTGATTTTTGCCTCGAGATTCATGCCAGATCAAAATAATTTCATGATGACATATTAGTTTTCCCCCAATTTTCGGACGTCAAAACTCGATGAGTCCGAAAATATATGTGTCGACAATTTGCATTGGCCGAAACATCAAAAATTGCATTCCAAAAATTAAGTGCTTGCTCAAACTTGATTGTAGAGGCCCTGTTGAGCTCCGAAAGTGTCAAATTGAGTCCGGAACATTGAAAAACGTGTCCGGGGACCCCACATAAGTTGAATTTGGTCCGTCCGGGACAAAAATCGGAGTCCGGGAACATTTGACGGCCAAACCGGCCGGCTAGCCGGCCGGCCACCGCCCACTGCCTCCTGGGCTAGCCCTCCTGGGCGCGCGGTTTGGCCGGCAGTTCCTGGCCGAAATTCAAACTTTTTATTTTTTTTTTAAATTGAGTGGGTCCCACAAAAATACCAAAAAAATTTTGAAAAACTTCAGAAAATTTCAAAAAATTCTGAAAAATTCGAAAATTCTAGAAACTTCCCATCTTCTCTCATAAAAACTATAAATAGACCCCTAGGGCTTTCAAAAAAATTGCACCTTCTCTTCTTTCTCCCTCTAGCTCTCTAACAATTGAGGCTTTCCGCTGTTTTTGAGTGGGAAATTTTCCCTGCTCGACTTAGCGCCCCTTCTCTTGTGCAGAAGTTAGGGGATTTCTTCTCCTCTTCTTTCCCCCTCTGGCTTTCTAACAGTGGAAGCTTTCTGCTATTTTTGAGTGAGAAATTTTCCCTGCTCGACTTAGCGCCCCTCCTCTGGTGCAGAAGTTAGGGGATTCTTCTCCTCTTCTTTTCCCCTCTGGCTTTCTGACAGTTGAGGTTTTCCACTATTTTTGAGTGGAAAATTTTCCCTGCTCGACTTAGCTCCCCTCCTCTTGTGCAGAAGTTAAGGGATTTCTTCTCCCCCTCTGGCTTTCTGACATTGGAAGCTTTCTGCTAATTTTGAGTGGGAAATTTTCCGTACTCAATCTAGTGCCCCTCTTCTATGTAGAAGGAGAATTTTTTGCTTCTTGTTCTTTTCTTGCGCTCTTCTTCTTACATTGGAGGCATTCCACTGTCAGAGATAGGTGACATTCCCCTATCAAGCTTTAATGCCCCTCTCTTGTGTAGAAGGAGTCGTGATGGGGGGCTATCTTCTAAATAGATAACCCGTGATAGAAAGAAATCAATTGTTGCTTGTATGCGAGGGTGATTTGAGAAGATCTTGCAGTGATAATGTCAGGGAGGAGAACCAGAGGCGATGAGCAGATTGGGCGAATTTCAACGCCATTTGAGCGAAAGTTCATCGGCGATGGACGATCGAGTTGAAGCCCATTAGCAATCAACAACCGAGTGTAGAGCCAAATGAGAGAGTTTGAGGGTGCGTTGCAAGTAGCAGTCGAGCGAGAATCCGATGATGGCTTATACAAAGTAAAGGACCGACGACGAACATCAGATAAAGAGCCGATGAT